CTTCACAATGTGTTCTAACAAAGTGTTTTTCAAATATCTCAACTACCAGTTCTCCAATCTACCTCAGAAGAATGTTACATTTCCGACCTACTTCTACAGAAAAATGGGTAACATTGACAACTTAATAAAAACATCTTCCTTTCAAATTCATTCCACAAGCTGGACACGGCTCCAAATAAACTGAGGCTTTTTTCCTCAGATATTAAAGAACCAATACCAGAGACTGCATAATATATTTTTAGCTACCAAGTTCTTTCCTCATTTAAAGATTTTTGCTCTCTCTACTTCTGCTCAAATATTCTTCATGGAATATTGTATGTATGGAATACACCAGACATTTCTGCTTTCCCAGCTCTGCTTAGTTCATGAAACTAGTCCAACAAAAACTAATTCTTAACAACTACTATGAAAACTATACGGGATAGAGAATATTAAAAGTATCCTGCAGTTTAATTTTCATTCCATGAATACACTTAACATTCTGGTTTTCCTTCATCTTAACATCGTGCCTGTCTCTACAATAGAACACATAACCTGAAATGGTTAAGCCTGACCTAAGTCAAGCTGCCGGTAGAGCTCCAGAAATTTAGTCAGTGCTTGCGTCAACTATACAAGATCCTTAAGTAGTAAAACCTTTCCTCCCTTGTCTATAATCTCCCAGGAAACATTTACAATCTTTAAATGTTTTTGCTTTTAACCCAAATTAAAGATTTCTCTCAACAAAGTTGATATAACGATTTCATTTTAAACAGTATCTCATTTTGCTTTAATGTCATTTGGCACCAATAGAGTACATGTTTTCCTAGTTTTCAGTTAATCTCCAGGAAAACCTTTGTAAGATTTGAGAAACCAAAACAGATTGGTGCCCAGGACTTTCAACGGCCTACTTGAGTATGTTTTAAATAAGCAGTTAATTTATCTTAAAATACCTATTTCACTCATTAGTCTTCCTTTATAATTTAAAATAAAAAAGGAATACATGACTGATAAAAACATTCATTCCAACTTCAATATTAAAGATAATCCCAAAGAGTTACAGATCATTGGATCTACAAAACGTATCACTCGAGTTCCCACCTTAGCCACGGTTGTCCAGTGAAAATTATAAACCTGGTGACCACACTGCTTTAAATGTTTCCTACGATTTCAACTAGTGCAATATTGTTAACTTTCCATCCGAAAGAGTTTCCTACGGTTATTATTAAAACAGCTGTCAGCCGCTGAGCTTCGGTAACCTCTTTGTACAACCGTTTATTCAACGCTTTGGGATCCTCAAGAATGCGTCATTCCACAACACTCCTCAAAATGAGATCTAAGAACCTGATGCGCTCCAAGGGTCTCTGATCATCACTTGCGGGGACACGAGAAAAACCATGCAGAGAACTGATTGCCCAATACGGCAATGTTAGCTCACACCGGCATTTAAGACAGGGCGGCCGCCCTCCTTCTGACATGAGACTACTGAAACAACAATTTCTTCTTCTCGCTTTCAACACCTCTCCCTGGATCCCGGCTACCTCCGCCACTCCCGGCCGGAGCGGCAGCGGCTGTCTCCGGCGTCCGCGCCCGCACCTAGACTGGCGGCGGGAGCGCGCGACGGGCCAGGCGCGCCCCCGCCTCCGTCTCGTCCGGCCGCGGCACGCAGTCGGCGCCCTCTCGGGCCGCGCACACTCGCACGCACACGCTCCTCCAGCCGCGCCATGTTCCGGGAGGCGGCAGCAGCCCAGCCCCGGGAGCGACGGCGAGGGGCGCTCGCGCCCAGCCTCCCGCCCAGCCTCCCACCCGGCCCCGCGCCCCGCCCCGCGCCCCCGCCCAGCTGGCGGCTCCCACCTGAGCCGCGGTTCCTCGGGACGCCGGGAAGGTGGCGGCGGGCGGGGCCGCGGCAGACCCGCGTCGGGGGGCACTAACGGCCTGTCACGTCAGGCCGGCGGCTCCTCGGCACTAGGCTGGCCGGACGGCGCATCCAGGGCCGGGCGGGGTGGCTAAGGCACGTCCCCTACCTTGCTCTGGGGAGGGGAAACGAGAGCAACGCAGAACTGCGGGGGTCTCCTCCCAGGCGCCGGGGACAGGCTCGAAACCGCGCCCCTCCTTCCTCCTCCCCTGTCGCCACGCCCCCCTCGCCCGCACGGACCCGAGGCACGGTCAGCGGAGGAGGGTTTACCCCCTGAACGAGTGTCTCGGCGTGGCCGTCGCTGTCGTTGTCGTCCTCGCCGCTGCAACCGCCACTAACGCCGACGGGGCCGGGCTTGAAAACATCTCCGGTCTCGGTCCGTCTCTCACCACAGCCTCCTCGCTCCCAGGACAGCGCCGCCTGGCTATTGGTTGTGGGGTGGGCACGTGACTCTTGCAGACACGTGACTCCCGCGGGCACGGGACGGGCGGCGTGACCGCCCCGCCCCCCGGCACCCGCCCCTCTGGCTGCTCTTTGGAGAAGCATCTCGCGCAGCAGGGCGGGGGAGGAGGAACGTACCAAGTGGGCGGTGGCAGGGGGGTGCGTGCCGGAACTCCTCCCTTCGCACTGCTCTGTCTCCGCCCTACCCGGCTGTCACCACCTCTCCTCTGCTGTCACCCACGGAGAAAAGGATGGGCTAAGAGGCAGCGCAGGCGCCGCTGACACTGCCGAGAAAGCGAGTTCTGCAGTAGCTTTTTACGGCGACCATAGCAGTGGCTGTGACTGGAGACTCCTGGAAATGGCGGTGATGAAGAGGCCCCACGTAGGGTACTACCGCGTACTTTTTACAGGGGGGTGGGTAAACGAGTTTGAATTCGGCCACAGGAAAGACAATGCGAGGACCACAGCTTGAGGCTGAGGCCAGAGTTTCTACCCAGCCAAGCGGCTCCTGCCAGCAAGATCGCCCGGCGGTCGGCAGAGGCGTGGTGACAGCGCGCGTCCCCTCCGCAGTGCGCCTGCGCGGCCGGAGCAGCCTGCACCTGCGCCTGGAACAAATCGTCCCCGGCGCCAGGTGGGTCGCCAGTACTCGTCCCGAACGCGCAGTGACAAGTCCCTGTCCAAGGGGATCGCAGGACACCTCTCAGTCACATCTTCCGATGGCCATTTTTTTTTTTTTTTGAGACAGAGCCTCAAGCTATCCCCCTGGGTAGAGTGCCATGGCATCACCCTCACAGCAACCTCCAACTCCTGGGCTCAAGCGAGTCTCCTGCCTCAGCCTCCCAAGTAGCTGGGACTACAGGCGCCCGCCACAACGCCTGGACATTTTTTTTGGTTGCAGCCATCATTGTTGTTTGGCGGGCCCGGGCTGGGGATTCGAACCCACCACCTTAGGTGTATGTGGCTGGCGCCTTAGCCGCTTGAGCCACAGGCGCCGAGCCCCGATGGCCTTTTTTAAAGAGAAATTTCAGTGCGTTTTTCCACATGCGGTATATTGAGCGTTTAAGAGGGAACTAACTGCCTAGGTACACTGAAAGCGCCATAAGGAAAACCTACTGATACCATCTCAGCATTGCAGTATGTGCCCTGACTTCTGCTAGTAGGAGCGTTTTATTTACATAGAGATTAATCTGCAATAGTTTGTACATACCTTAACCTAGTTAAGCACCCGGGGAGTTACTCGGCGGGAGGGAAATTATTATCTCCATCGCCCACTGTGGCCTCTAAAAACTACTGTAGCATTGTTTGTGAGTTAATGCGTGCAGTTACAAATTTTTATTAGTGACTATCATTTATGTCACTAATAAACTGAAGGGTTCAGATGTGACCGTGGCAGATGAGGTGACGTTCACACTACTCAGGGAAGGTCAAGTCTCAACAAATTACTACATAAAGCATAAACCTACATTAAAGACCAAGAGTTTTTCCTTTTCTAGGTCCTTGATTTCTCCCAACTATAAAACATAATGTTCACATAAATATTAATAGCGTAGCTAGAAGTGGAACAGCGTTACATTTTAATTTGGGGACTTACGGAGTGAAATCCAAAGAAAAAAATTGCCTATAAAAAAGCTAAGAGAGCTATATGATAGAAGGAAAAAATTTTCATTGTGTTACTCTTACTGCCACTTGGGAAATTGCTATTGCTGCCTTCTTTCAAGTAAAAAAACCCCCTAACGGTAGGTTCTTAAACACATACTTAAAAATAATAATCATGTTTTTTAGGCATTATGACGACTATCTCAAGAGCAAGGCCCACAAATTGGACTCAGAAATTTTTAAACAATTTGATTAGAGTTGTTCATGCATTAAAGCTATTTTTTTCTCACTTGCAAAACTATAATAAGCTACAGCTAGTTTCTTGAACTGGTAATAATTATCGTTTCCTCTATATTGTAATATCTATTCTATACAATGTTTTGCACATGTACTGATCTTTCCAACTCATGATTGTACTTCCAATTTCCTCACTCAATTATTTTTTTATATACTTGCAGTGTCAGAGTAGCCAAGGATAATGTTAAAAATGTTTTGTACATTTTTTTTTGCAGTTTTTGGCCAGGGCCAGGTTTGAACCCGACACCTCCGGTATATTGGGCTAGCACCCTACTCCTCTGAGCCACAGGCACCACCCTATACATTTTTTTTTTTAAAGAATGATAGTGATTCTACAGACAACTACCTTAACCTTCTTATACCTACAGTGTGCTTGAGGTGTCACTTAACAGTTGGAAATACAATAACTATTACATGCTGTAAATATAAAAATATTTAAAAGGATTACTGACATAAGTGTATATAAAGAGCATGTTAACTTAGAATGAGGCTGTGGCTAAAGATGTGAAAGCAAAATACATCTGAAATTTGACAGAATTTTTACTTCACAGTAATCCAATATTATTGATAAAAGGGACCAGGCAGTTGAAAATGGATGACACTGGAGTAACTGTTAACTAGATTGCATAATAATGTCTTCATAGTTAGCCATAAATAGTGCAAGACTTTAAAATGGTGCTCTGTCATTTTGACATAATACGTACAGCTACAAGTTGGGTCCAGGTTACTACAAGATGTACACAGCATAGAATTAACAAATAATATAAAAAGTTTATATAGATAGGAAGTTCATATTTTATTTCTCCAGAGACATATTTACAGGTAAATCAAAGTTAAAGGCCTGCTTGCACACCAAAGCCAGGTCCTTTGGGTGGTTCAGTCAAAGAGGTAAGACCTCCAGCTGGCTCACAGGAAAAGCGCCCACTCCTAAAATAAAAGCAAGGAATATTAAGTTAATGATTAACATTTGTACATTTTTACTTAAAAAATTATAATTATTATTTCATAACAGCCCAGTTAAATAACTATTTGTCCCTCAAAAACTAGCATGTTTTATTTAATTCAAACATATTAACTGCTGCAAAATTTTCTATTCCTAAAGTTAAATATGAAAAGACATGTCAAAACTCTTAAGTATGAAATATAAAAATAGCACTAATACTAGTTCCCATTTATTGAACAATATACATACATTAGCTCATTTAATTTTTACAACAAAGCCGGACAGTGCCTGTGGCTCAGTGAGTAGGGCGCAGCCCCAATATACTGAAGGTGGCAGGTTCAAACCTGGCCCTGGCCAAACTGCAACACAAAATAGGCGGTCACTGTGGCAGGCACCTGTTGTCCCAGCTACTTGGGAGGCTGAGGCAAGAGAATTGCCTAAGCCCAAGAGTTGGGTTGCTGTGAACTGTGACACCACAGCCCTCTACCGAGGACGACAAAGTAAGACTCTGTCTCTAAAAAAAAATTAACAATGCCATGAGACAAGTGATACTAGCTTTGTCTTAAGCTACAGAAAGCAAGGTTTGGAGAATTCAGCATCTGCAAAAGATCAGAGTAAAAAACTAAGGTGAAAATAAAACCTAACCCAAGAGAACATTTTTTAAAAACTTGTTTTAATAAACCACAGTACTACATTTATTCTTTTTATACTTGAAGTTTATTTAGATTGAGATCCACTGTCGCAGTGAATAGAAGAAACACATACATTTATACTCTGTATTTAAAAGTAAGAGAAATTGAATTCCTTAAGAAATAAGATTTGGGAGAATGTCCCTTAGAAGTAGTGAAGTAAGAATCTATTTGATTTATTTTTTTTTAAGGCTATATAAGTGGTAGCAATTTTTTTGAAAAATGATTTCAGACCAGGGTGGTCAGCACAGACATAAATAGAAGAAAATAAGAACAGGCCCTCATGGAAGAATTTGCAAAGAGAGGCACAGCAGAGGTAGAAGAACTTGTCTGGCTTTTTTCACCCCCACACATACTTTCCAGGGTAACTACTCACCTCTGCCCCGGCTGACCTCTGTTGCTAAAGCCTAGCTCAGTACCTACTCCATATCACTTAATCATTCCATTCCCCCACTATTCCCTGGCTCTGCTAACTTACCTTGTTCCTGCTATAGATTTTAGCTAAAGAATTTGTTATTTATATGTTTTCAATCCCCTCTGGCTTTGCCCTTCACATTTAATCATCAATCCTGTATGTCTATTAATTAGCGCCCGAGGAAATCATTTTCTGTTGAAGGAGACAGGAAAATGACACCAGATAATCATTTATAAGATCTTGCAAGTTATCACAGTAATATAAATTACTATAATGTACTGTAATGAACAATGCTACATAGGTCTTTTTGTTCACTATAGAAACAGACCAAATAGCAGTCATTACATACTATCTGTCAGAGCCTAATGCTAATGTTGTAGGGTAAGTGGCAGAATGATACTTAGCTAAGAAAAAAAAAAAAGACAGTATTTGACTTTACATTTTTATTTTATTTATGGAGTCTCACTTTTGTTGCCTTGTAGAGAGCCATGGCATCATAGCTCACAGCAACCTCAAACTCTTGGGCTCAAGCAATCCTCTTGCCTCAAACTCCAGAGCAGCTGGAACTACAAGTGCCTGCCACAACACCTGAGTAACTTTTCTATTTTTAGTAGAGACAGGGTCTTCTTGTTGCTCAGGCTGGTCTCTAATTCCTGAGCTCAGGTGATCTACCTGCTTTAGCTTCCCAGCGGGCTAGGATGACAGACATGAGCCACTACACCCAGCCTGTATTTTTGTATTAACTGAGTACAACTGATTTTCTTTAACTGCTAATGAAATAATGAAATCAATTTATTTTGGAGGAGTTTTCAACTACCACGTCTTTCAAACTACTCTGTCTACAACGTTTCTCTTGATTAAATGTTAAATGAATGTAATTTAAATGTTTCCTTTTAGAAGTCTCCTAAAAACTGAGCATTTGATATCTTAAAGCTTCTCATCAGTTTGAATGAATATAGATCTTTTTAAGTTAATAAGCTCTTTAATATTAATACCTTCTTTACCAATTTAGGAAGACTAGCTAAAGTTTTGGGAACAATAAATAAAATTAATCATATATACTTCCTGAATTCTTCACAGGATTATGGTATTTTACATATGATAGTAATTTTAAGAATAATCTCTCCCAGAGTTTCCTAAAATTTGTTCCACGAAATTATTTTGACATACTTTATTATTATTTTATAGACAGGGTCCGGCTCTGCCACCCAGGCTGCAGTACAGTGGCAAAATCATAGCTTACCGTAGCCTTGAACTCCTAGGCTCTCGGCTCTAGGGATCCTTCTGCCTCAGCCTCCCCAGTAGCTGAACTATAAGCATGTGTATCACACCTGGCCCATGGCATACTTCAGAAAAAAAGGGGGTTCTAGTGGTCTACTATGGCTGCAAACCTTCCCCTTTCCCTGCCACTCACACAATGCATATTAAAAAATTATAAAGACTATAAAATCTATCAGTAAAGCCTGTAATTTTGTTTAACCTATTACAAATGTAATTCTCCCCTAACTCCATCTGTAAATATGTCTCAGAACACACAAGAGGTAGTGACTTAGCCTTCTTCATTCATCTGACAGCCAAAATTTACACAAGGGTTTTTCACTTAATGAATAAAAAATGACTTTCCATGATATCTCATGTTTAAAATGCCATCTAATACTTTACCTTGTTATCTTCATTAAAAATCAAATGTGTTTTTTTAGCATTCTAACACTATATGAATATGTACCATTTTAACTCATCTGCACTCTAGAAAACTTAGCCTTCCTATAAACTTTTATGGCTTAAAGGTGAAGTATTTTATGGAAGTTCAGTACTTATCTGTTTATTATTGCTGAGATATAGTATAGTCACCGTTGCTCCTACTTCTAGTGTTTAAAAAACACAAAAGTGACTATCATTTAGAGTCATCTCTCAATAACCACACTGGTAGTATAGCCTAGCTGTATGTTTTTTACTTCTCAGATATTGCCTGAACTCCGCAGAACTGTGCAAAATTTAAGAGCTTTATAAAACTAAATATGAAGAATTCAAATTGTATTTAAAAGTAGTTATAAACTAACTCTTCTATAATAAAAAGAACTTCTATTAATTAGTAATTTTAAGCCAAGTTTAGAAGTTATTTTTCTTTAACCAAATTTTTATTTATATATAAAATAAAAATATTTGTCTTTAAATTAACCAAAAATAAGAACAATCACAGCATACAAATATTTTCTAATGTCAAAATTAAGAAAGAGTATAGTGGACTCTTGAAATACATAAGGTGTGTGTACTGCATGTATCCACATATTTTGATTGTGTTTAGCTTCTGTCACCTCTGAGACAGCAAGACCAACATTTCCTCTTCTTCCTCCTCAGCCTACTCAAAGTGAAGATGATGATAAAGAACGGTCACAAGACACTTGAAAAATAGGGCAGTGCCTGTGGCTCAGTGAGTAGGGCACCGGCCCCATATACAGAAGGTGGCAGGTTCAAACCCAACCCCCACCAAACTGCAACAAAATGTAGCCAGTGTTGTGGTGGGCACCTGTAGTCCCAGCTACTCGGGAGACTGAGGCAAGAGAATTGCCTAAACCCAAGAACTGGAAGTTGCTGTGAGCTGTTATGCCACAGCACTCTACTGAGGGTGACAAAGTGAGACTCCATCTCTAAAAAAAAAAAAAGTGAAATGTAGACAAAGCAACTGTCTGTCTATTTGTGTGACAGGAGACTAATACTGGATTCACATTGTGAATTGACAAAGAAAGCAGGAGATTCTAAACGACAAAATTATGACTATAGAATTATAAACACACCATCAGAAAAAGGGAGCCATCTAAAGAAACCAAATAGATTTCATGAGGAAATCTTCACTTGAGAAGTTGAAAGAAGTTATGGGTTTGAGCACAAACATAAGAACAGCATAAACTTATTTAAAAACATCTAAATCCTAAAAAGGAGCTGAAGCTTGTAGAAAACACCATGAGATAGGGTCTCTTCTGGGTAAGGATATCTATATTTGAGGCAAGATGGGTAAGGGATACGACCATTAGCTAAGAAAGATAGTGTAATGTTAACCAACAAAAGCTTTTATTTCAGTTGCCTCTATAAAGGAGAATGATTTTTCACAATGGAAATGTTTTATCTTCTTTTAAAAAAAAAAGCAAGCATACCCCAAAAAGTAAGGAACTAGGAAGAGAATGCCAAAACTCTTTAAGTAAATTGTATAGGCACAGGGTGTTGAAAGTAAAATATATATAGGAGAACCTCTACAAGTTGACCATGCAAGGGACTGTAACAAACTGGTCAACATAAGGAGGTGGTCAACATAAGGAACTAGGCGTATTGTACTGATACATACATGTGGTGCATGTCTGATCTATGAAAATTAGGTCAGCCTGGGTGTGGTCAAACCTGTAACCTTAGCACTCTCAGAAGCTAAAGCAGGTGGATTACTTGAGCTCAAGAGTTCAAAACCAGCCTAAGCAAGAACGAGACTCCGTGTCTACTAAAAATAGAAAAAAAACTAGCCAGGTGTTGTGGTGAACACCTGTAGTCCCAGCCAACTCAGGAGGCTGAGGTAAAGAAGATTGCTTGAGACCAAGAGTGTGAGGTTGCTGTGAGCTATAATGCCACAGCATTCTACCTAGGCACAGAGTAAAACTCTGCCTCAAAATAAAAATTAAAAAGAAAGAAAGAAAATAGAAAAGAAAAGAAGAGAAAAGAAAATTAGGTCAATTTAAGGAAGTGATCACTGTAGGGAGATAGTCAACTATGAGGTCCTACGTATATGCTTCTTAGAAAAGAAAGCAATAATAGTTAACAAAGACCAGCTAAACTAGTATTTACAAAACTTCAGTTATCTTGAATTGATCTCATTATCTCATTAAGTAAGGTTATTAGTCTGCCAGAAGGATGAGTCAGTACTTCTAGAGAGGAAACTATAGAACCACTTATACTTAGTAATTCAACTTCAATAATTGTTATTTTCTTTTTTTTTTT